GTAAGGTGTCAGAAATTTAATAAATAATTATAAATTTATAAAAATGCAATCAAGGTCAGTAAAAAATGAAATATGGCAACAAACAGGGCTTACATGTAGAACAATTTTAGTGGACACTCGGAAAAATAATTGATAAAAAACATACATGAACTATAAAAAATATATCAGGCGCATCTGATGAAATGAACTACAGTCTATGAACAGTCAATAATATTTAAGGCAGCCTCTCAGGCCACATCTTCTGAATTACTTGGGTTTGTAAAAATTGCTGAAAGCATTTACTATCTATCTGTGGTAGCAGAAAAATACTGCATAGGCACAGCTACAAAAATACATTGTCAAATGCCTCTTGGATGCAAAAAAAGGATTAAAAACAGATGGAAAATATAAGATTGGAAACTGGCCTAAGAGCATTAGACATCATTCCCTCTTAAACAAAGCTAAGATGCCATGTCTGATTCCAAGGACTCTTCATTTGATCTTTACCAGCCTAATTCTGTACAATCTTTACTCCAGCTGCAAGGTGGCAGTCACTAGTGAGTCACATCCTGTACGGGGGTGAAACACTGACTCATTTTCTATCAAATAACAAAAACCGTCCAAGGGTTTGCTAAACTAGCCATCAAATAAAAAACTAAAAACTAGTTTCTGTTATTTCTGTCCCCATATTAATCATCATTATTCCACTGCGCTTCTTAGATATCCAGAAGTTAGCTTTCAGCAGAAATTTAATTCCTCCTGCAAATCTCAGTGGATATCACATGTAATGAATAGAGTTGAATTCATGTATTTTGGGTTGGCAAATCCTTCATTACTGCAGATTGAATGGATTCTTACAAGGATAGAAATAAAGCAGAAAGAATGTATTTAAAAGTCCTCCATAAAGATTATTTGTTGCAGTAAATGGGTTTTTCAGGATCAAGTCCCTGATGCTAGAGAAGAAAATCTCTAAGCTGCTAACTTCATAGGATACTTCTTGAAAGTATTACTTCAAAAGATGGTCTACTAGCTTCAGAAGATATTTCTGGTGAGGTATATATTGACAGTCTAAATTGTAGTTGACTAGTTCAATAGCTGATATGTAATTGATTACATAATTGATTCATAAGAACCGTAATACCAAATCTCTTTTTAGTCATGCTTCAGGTCAACCCAGTCTATGGCAGGGTTGTTAAACTCAAGGTCCAGGAGCTAGAGCTAGCCAGCGGGGTGCTTAGATCTGGCCTGCGGGGCCGCCCTATAAACAGCAAAGGACCAGCCTGCAGTGCCGCTGCTAGCAAAAATGGAGCTCGGGAGGGTGGCTCTCCCGAGCTTCATTTTCGCTGGCAGAAGGGTTGTAGGAGGCTGTCACAGCTGAAAATGGAGCTCAGGACCTGTTTTTGCTGGCAGAGTGCTCGGGCCACCGCAGATGCCCCAACATGAGTGGCATTGAACTGGCCACATCTGCCCTGGCCACACCCACCTCAGTCCCCCAATGTCAAACACAACCCTGATGTGGCCCTTGATGAAATCGAGATTTACACTCCTGGTCTATGGCTAGAGATTCAAGAGATCAATTATTATTTTTGATCAAATAAGCCTATTATTTATCTGATGAATCTTTTAAAAAAATATTGAACAATAGATCATTTCTGTACTTTCTCGATTTATCTTTAATCAGAGATTCCTTAGGCGTCCTTCACTTCCAGTCTCAGTAATATCCAGCATGTCTGAAGTTGTTCTCCCAACAATTTAATTCCAATTGCTATTTTTTCTACTCAAGCATTTCTCATCTTATAGTCTGCATGTATATTAATTGAACAAGTGGACAGTGTTTCCCAATTCTGAACAATTTAGTTCTTCTTTATTCTAATTGATGCTTCCTGGTCATCATGCAGATTGTTCAACAGGCAAATGAAGTGGTATGATAGACCAGGTTTTTAAGGACTAGTCAATCTGTTTTGGTCTATGTAAGTGTTTATATATCATCAGTAAAAAAAATGGACACATTTCTTTTTGGATTTCCCTTGTCTGTATTTTCTGAATATAACATCTGTCAGTTTTCATTCCATGTGTTGTCTGCACTGTAAATTCTTGAGCTCTGTCCTACAAAATGCAGACTAAGTACAATTATTTTGTAGTTTTTAGCAGAGACAATACTTGGAATTGAAATTTAAATTGCTCTTTTGCATCCCTAGAACATTGCTCTATTTTGCACACCATACAAATCTGTGCCATTTGAAAAGTTTAAACAATTTGATCAGTACTTAATAAAATTACTGAAGTTGTTAGCACCATTTTCTAGGGTCCATTTAATTTCACTTTTTATAATGACCCATCCTAAATCAGTAATAATTCATATCTGTCATTTTTTCTATAGTTCTTCCATATATTTGTACCATCTCTTCTTTCTATCCTCTTCTTAAATATTTCTGTTCCCATCTTTCCATAAGGTATCTCCTATTAATTGGATTGTTATCCTTCATATTTTTATTTTGCTCATTTAGCTGTACCTTCTTGGGTTTTCCTGTTCCTTTCTGAAACTCAGTATTCTATAAAATTTATTGAATATGAATTTGTTTTGATACCTCCTCCCCTTGTCATCTTTTTACTTCCATTTTGAAGGGAGCAGAATACTTTTAACCTACCAGCAAACAGCCGTTTTGCTTCTTTTCTTTTTTGCACATCTGCAATTTTGGTTTGCTTCCCTTTAAGATCTCACCCTTTAAATACATTCAACACATTTTCTCAGGGAAACCATCGTATTATGTTGGTTTGGTGATTTTCTTTAAGTTGTAATTTTTCAATAAGGCTGAGATCACAAACCCCTTGCAAAATTACAACTTAAACATATATTTTCAAGGAGAAAAAAAAAGATCTAGCAGTGTGATTTGAACCGCAGGCAGTACTAAATCTTGTTTTTGCTGACTTAATGAAATTCTTCCATTTTTCTTGCAGAGTACATAATGAATTTTATTTTGGTGTCATCCATCTGTTGATGTGGGGTATCAACTCAGCTTTAGGTTGTTGGGGAAAAAGTATTTGCTATAAATATTGAATTTTTTTGGCACAACTGTTAGCCTGTCTCCTGCTTCATATTATACATAGAAACGTAATGTTTCCATTATTTCAGTCCTACTCTAGTTCCAACTTTAGCACCCAGTCTCATATAATGAACATGCTGTGGGTTTTTTTGGTGTGGCGTTGACAAGTTATTATAGAACACTTCAACTTCCCCTTTTTCATATCTGTGGGTTCAACACAAGACTTGAATCAGCATGATACCAATTGGCTTGAATTGGAATCAAATTTGAGATTATTCTAAATTTTTTAAGATCATCTTATCGTACTTTTTAATCATTCTAACATATCTAAACACTGATTTTATCACTTGTATATATAATGATAGTTACTTCATTTCTGCTGTATTTTTCTTGTCTGCAGTAGATCCAATGCCCTCTGCCGTTTGAAATTTGTTTCAGTTCGCTGATTTCCAGAATGTCTATGTTCAGTGTTGACATTTCTGCTCTGGCAACATCATGTTTGTCCTGGTTTATGGTTCCAACATTCTACGTATTAGTAATAGGTGTGTCAACTCTGAAGCTGGCCTGAGTGAGGCCATTTTGAGATTTCAGCGCTGACAAACTGAAGAGAGACAGGGAGAGGGGAACAGAGATAGTTGGGGTGTTGTAGCCAAAACTTTCTCTTGGGAACCAAGGACATTATTGCAGGTGCTCGGAAGGAGGGGACTGGAGTCACCTAGCAACTGGAGAGTAACATGATTGGCCCATGTGACTGATTGTTTTGGGAAAGTGTCAGAGTCGGTTTTCCCCAGCCTGTGCCAATATGACATAACCAATATAATTATTATTTGAGAAATCTACCTGCCTCAGAGTTTTGTTTGCTGTGGGTATGTTACTTGGAACCCCGACAATGTGCATCTTTGCAATATTATTAAAGATAGCCTACATGACAGCCTATGCCAGGGCTCTTCAAACTTAACAGCTTTAAGACTTCTGGACTTCAACTCCCAGAATTCCGACTCCAATCATGTTAGCTCAGGAATTCTGGGAGTTGAAGTCCACAAATCTTAAACTTGCCAAGTTTGAAGACCCTTGGCCTATACTGTCCTCCCCAGAAACTCGTTGGATATCTTCTGAATGGGGGAGACTTTGATGTTGACATTGTTCTCCTTATGTATGTCCATTTGGTTTTCTTGGAAGAATATTGCAGTAGATCTATTTCCTCCTTGAAAGTGCTTTATTTTATATGATCCTTTATGGTCAGTGGAATGGAGAGAAGACTTCTCGGAATAAGAACTCCTAATGATAGCTTTTATGTCACTGGGATGTACAATTCAATTCACTGCATAAGTTCATACTATTTTTCAAATCACAAGGATAGAGTCTCATATGGTATCAAACATTGTTCTTCTGTTTAGAATATTGATTTAAATTCTGTATTTAAAGAATGCATTCTACCACTAACCCTCAATAAACAGAACCAAATCATTGGCTAAAAATACAGAGAAGTGTTAAGACTATTAAATTTTAAAGGAAACTAATAAGAGTACATCTGAAGGCTTTCTCATAGTTGTCACACAGAGACTTAGAAGCCGAATATTTTAAAGGGGGTCGATGTTTACCAATCTTATTTTTTGTAATATGTTAAAAATATTTTTCTTAGGAACTTAAAGAAGAAACAGTGGATATGTAATTTAAAGAGTTGTTATAAATAAAGCTAAGTTAGATGACATTTTAGTTCTCTATCAGAAGGATTGGGAAATAGATGCAAGTGGTATAACATAGGTCCTTGCAATTTTGCATCATACAGCTGTTCGATTCTTTTTTAAATAATAAATTGATGATGCCATACAAAGCTCTCATTATTACAAACAAAGGGTACAATCAAGGTTAGAGAAAAAGCATAAGCATTCCGGGAAAGAAGAATGCATGTATTTTTCTTCTAAGGTGATGTTATTCAATAATAGTCATGGTAATACCAACAATCATGATAATTACCTTTGCAGATTCATAACCAGATTTCCCGAGCAGGTCTTGATTTTATTTTGTGCTTCCAGGTGAGTCATACTTTCTGCACTTATCCCATCAATGCTAAGGACCACATCACCTATTCCGACGTTTGCATTAGCTGCTTTGCCTCCGTCATTCAACTGCAAAGTAATATAAGCATTATTCATTTTCATTCACATTTTAAGAACAGAGTCATGAGAGCTAAGAAGAGGAATGACAAACATTTCAAAGTGATATAAACTTTGAAAAGAATACTGCATTCTTATAATGAAACTACTCTATGGGAAAGGCATAAGATCCTCTTAGGATGGAGTGAACAGTACATGAAATCAACCAGGTTCAGATGTTATACTAAACCAAAACCTAATCTATTCATTTCTAGCTAAGGTTGTTTAGTGAAACCAGCCCAGTGGTCCATAACACATGGAATAGCTTGGTTTACTTAATTTACAATGTTAGACTAATCAACTATGTATTATAAATAAGCCACAGTTTGTCTATCACACAGCACTCAATACAAAATGCATTTCCATACATTTTAAGGTGTCATGATCTTGGCATAATTTTTTAATGAAAACCATACACAAGGACCTAAAGATTCAAATGCAAATTTATAGAAGACATTTAGAAAACAATCCCTGTCTTAGAATAATAAGCTGAACTAGGAGGCTGGGTTACCAATAATGGTCAAATTGGAAATGCATTAACAAACATATAACTCCTTGCCCCAGTTCTCAAGCACAACCATCTAGGTTGTGTAAGTCTGTTACTGTGGGTACCAGCAACTTCATGTATATCCGAAGAAAAATCAATCCTCTGCTATCAGGATCACAGTAGATTTCCAGAGGCAAGCAATGCTCTTATTTATTCATTATAGTTGAGGTACAAAATATATCACAAAATACAATAAGGTGTAAATTGATCATAGCAATCATATAATTATCACAGGATTTGATATAAACTTATCATTGCAGGACTTGCATGTCAACTAAGTAAGCAGAAACTGAAGACTACAAGTTCTTGGTTATTTTGCACTGGGTTCAAGAAAAACCCCAATTAGACCAGTGGCCCCCAACCTTTCGGGAACCAGGGACTGGTTCCATGGAGAGAGGTTTTTCCACAGACTGGAGGGGGCGTGGTTTCGCATGCCACCTGCATCCTGCAGATGGGGATTTGTTTATTTACGTGTCCTGGGTTTCTGGCATGCCAGGACCAGGGTTGGGGACGCCTGAATTAGACAACTCAGTTGTTTAAGAAAAGGTCCAAGAAATCCAAATGTTTTCAACCTGCATGTAGAAATTGGCTATTAAGATGTGAATTAACTCACAGAAAATAATTATTGCATCTTGTATTCTTTCTCCATGGAGTTCCTTGAACTGATCAAAAGTTTGAAGAGAACCAGATTGGAGTATTGGGGAAAGGAAGAGTGCAGAAACATCCTTATTGTAAATTTTCTTCAGCCAACTTATTATAAAACTTCACGTCTGATTTTGGACATGTATCTTCTCCTCTACTAAAGGTATTTACAGACAGAATATTTCTTCCAAAAGGTAACTTTCCAGAGAAAGAATGCTAGATAGAATAAGAACAGCTGAGGGAATGCAAACATTCCTTTGTAAATTCCTTTAAGTTTACTTATCTTAGGATCTAAGCCAGATGAAATTGTTATTTCACATAACAGTTCATTTAGTTGGTATCAAAACCCTAAGTATAAAAATCAAAATTAAATGTCCCCTTTCAAATCTTTTTTTCCCTTTGAACTTGAGTTGATCTTCTCATGTCTTATATATGTACAATTTAAAAATACAAAGTTATTTCAATTTTGTTTCATTCAAACCAGATAGAATGAGAAAGATGGTATTTTCCCACTACTTTAGAACTTGCAATTTCAGACAACACAAAAAGTATATATATTATTTATTTACAGGAGTTAATATGCCAGCTCCAATCCAGTGTGCACACTGGGCAAACTGAATTAATTTTAGGATTTGAGTAAAGCATTCTAACACAAGAAAAGAGAATAAAGTTAATAATCGCCAATGTAACATAATAATATATAATAAAAGTTAGAAACCAGTCTTCCATGCAATATGGATATTATGAAAGATTCTAACCAAACTATTCACATCTGCTGCAGACAATCCTACAGACTCTTTGGCTAAGAAATGAAACAGTACAAATTCAAGCAGCAAATAAATGAATGGTATCACCATACAAAAACTTTAAATGAAAGGAAAAATTGAAAAAACAGATTATCCTTTCCATGCAGATTGCCAATGTGGGATTACTTCCTACTATATCATGGATGGGCTCCTATCCTATCTAATTTCAAGTATGGTTCATGGACTTTTGTTTACTTAAAAACATTATAGTGCCATAATGAGATACAGAACATTGGTGAGAATGTAATTACTATATCCTATTGAAATAAAACTATTTTATCTTTATTTTGAAAAAAGACATTCAATTGCTCAACAATTATATCTGTTCTTTTAGCCACCGTTCATGTAATAATGATTCATGTTGGATTCCAGGTCTTTAATTTTGCCAACATATTTGTATTTTACTCATGATCATAAATTAGGTTTATTTTTCTTAAATGTTCTTCTTTCTGCATTTCTGGGCTCCAATTCATGAGGCCACAGGAAAGTTTCAGATTGCAAACTAACCCTGAATTACATAGGATACGGGCCACAGGAATGTCACATATGTCTAGTCACACTTAAATATTTTTTATTTACCTACAATGTTAGTACATCCAAATGTATGCTAATAAAATGCCTAAATGGTCCAAATTTTGGCATTAACAAATCCACTAACTTACCCCAACAAAGGATGTTCAGATTTGGTCCATATTCTGAATACAAACCAAACAATAATTAGAAAAGATGTGTTGCCAAGCTGACTTAAATCAGTTTCCATTACATTCCTGAATACTTTCTAATATATGAACAGTGGTGGTGCAGTGGTTAGAGTGCAATATTGCAGGCTACTTCTGCTGACCGCCGGCTGGCTGCAATTTGGCAGTTCAAATCTCACTAGGCTCAAGGTTGACTCAGCCTTCCATCCTTCCAAGATGGGTAAAATGAGAACCCAGATTGTTGAGGACAATATGCTGACTCTGTAAACCGCTTAGAGAGGGCTATAAAGCACTGTGAAGTGGTATATAAGTCTAAATGTTAATGCTAGTGCTATATACAGTATATAAAAAAACTGATCTGGTTTCCTACCATTACCTTTTAATACATAAAACAGACAAGGAGAAGAGCAGACAGAGAGGACTCAGCCTAGAATCATTATGTGACCACAAATGCACCAAGTCTATCCCCACTTGAATTCTATTAACTCTTATCTAGCGCCAATTTATTGCCTTCCATTAATTGACCAGACTCTTGCGGTGGATCAAAAGGTCGGCAGTTCACATGTCACATAACGGGGTGAGCTCCCGTTACTTCTCCCAACTTCTGCCAACCTAGCAGTTCGAAAGCATGTAAAAATGCAAGTAGAAAAATAGGGACCACTTTGGTGGTAAGGTAACAGCATTCCATGGGCCTTTGGCATTTAGTCATGCTGGCCACATGACCATGGAGATGTCTTCGGACAGCGCTGGCTCTTCAGCTTTGAAACAGAGATGAGCACCGCCCCCTAGAGTCAGAAACAACTAGCACGTTATGTGCGAGGGGAACCTTTACCTTTACTTTGTGCATAGCCTTGAGCAATAAATCTTCTGAACTGGAAATTGTGTTCCAACACTGTTTCTCAGAATGGCTTCATAGATATTTTTGGGGTGTTTATAAGCGGAGGCAGCTAGTCTCCTGAAACTAATATTTAGAAACAAATGTCCCTCAAATGGAACTAACAACGAATGTTCAGATCTGATAAGACTTGCTCTTACAGACTTGTTTCCTTCCAAGCCATTTAGGTTATTAGCCATCACTATATACTGTGGTAATGAAGTCCATGGGTTAACTACTACATAGAGTTAAGTATACTTTTTGTTTTAAATCATTTTCCAATTAATCTTAATGGAATGACACTTAATCCTAAGATTTATAAAGGGGAGAAAATCCTTCTCCACATCCAGGTTTTCCATGCCATGGAGGACTTATAACTGTTTTCTCATAAGGAAGATGAACCTGAAATCACACAACCAATTTATTCAGTTCAAAATTATCCAACTAACAAAGAGATGCCAACAATAAGAAAATTAGGCATTCCCATTATTTAATTCAGGATGTCAAAACATCAACCCAACTGTTCCTGAAAACCTCTACCAAAGGTTGCCCTACTCATTTGATAATTATTTCTACTGCTGGACTGCTGCGATATTCGAGACAATTTTTGTGAAATTTCATTGTCTTGGGTCCATTACATTTATGTATCTTTGGTTCATTACATTTAATCAAGGAGCAGATAGCTGTCCTTCATTTTCTGCTGGGACTTTGCTTATTGAAAGAGGTACTGTTATTTTCCCCTTCTGTCTAAAATGAATATCATGGATTCTATGCATTTGAAGTACATTGGCTTTAGACCATTTGAAAACTGGGATACTTAAAGTAACTCGTTCACATGATTGTGTCTATCACACAACATATTCCGATCTACTGCTATCGGTGTTTGTTCCATTTAGTGAACACATGCTGCTTTTTGGCAAGGTAGTGCTCAATGTCTGATTTGGAATAGTTTATGGAAGATAATGCAAACTCAGCCAAATGCTATTTATAGAGATCTTGCTATCTATTTCTCATGTATCCTCTCCTAACCTGATAAGAAAGGGACAGCTAGTCAAATCACTGGATTCAATTTCAGCTCTTTCCTTGTGGCCCATAAACTGGGGACAATTATCCCTAGGAGGATATTTTGGGCACACTTGAAGATAATGGAACAATTAGTAACCATGTGCTTGCGAGTCAAAGCTGCAGTTTGGGACTGCCAATGCATTTGTGTAAAATAATTCCTTGGTGGCGAGGGAGAAAAGTTAATGACACTACTCAAGACCAGGAAAAGGGTCAAATCATATAAGAACCCCAGCTGCAAGTTAATGCTAACGTAATATCATTAAGAATAAAAGCAGAATTCTACTCTGGGTAATCTTATAGTAAAGTGACAGAGAGGATAATTCCGGCTACACAAGACCAAG